CTTCCTGGGGTTAACCTTTTTGGGTTCAGGGCTTCCGGAACCCGCCATGTGATTATCAGCTGCCTCCAGTCTGTCAAGAGTGGGCCCGCGCGGTCCGACGGCGACGGCGCCACACCGGCGGAGGCCAGGAAGAGGGGGGCGAGGAACGGGCCGGGGGCCGGCGAGCAGAGCGCGGGTGGGCGAGGAGGAGGGAGAGGGCGAGGGGGGCGGGGAGGAGAGGGAGGGGAAAGAGGGGGCGAGGGGAAGAGGGAGGGGAGAGGGAGGAAGGAGGAGGGCGAGGAGGAGAGGGAGGGGCGAGGAGTCGAGAGGAGGGCGAGGAGCGAGAGCGCTCGGAGGCGCTCCCCCTCGTCGCCTTGGGTCGGGCATGTTCCCTCTACATGCAGATTTTGGACGACTAATAATCAACAGTCGCAATAGTAGAAAAATCGTCCCGAGGCTTTTTTTGAATTATATTATTTTTGAAGACACCTCCTGTAGGGGGACAGGCCCGACTTAATCCTCGCCCTCCGCGGCGCGTCGGCCGGCCGCCGCGGCGCGAGGAGGGCGAGTGCCTGACCGAGCTGTGCGGCTCGCCGCACTACCTCGCCCCCGAGCTGATCGGGCAGAGGCGCGCGCGCCCGCCCGCGGCTGCTCGCTGCTGCCCGCCGCCAGTGTTCAGAAGTCGGGCGCGTCCCTCTACAGGAGGAGTGTTTAATAATAGTCAACAAAATAGTATGATGACGACTTTTAGAGAGTTTTTTCCAGTATTTCGTTGTCGAATATTTGTTGTCTATTGTTAATTTTTCTATCAGAATCCGCCTGTAGGGGGACATGCCCGACCTAACGCCAGTGCTGCCTCGATCCCCGTTGGGCGAGGAGCTTTTTATGTTCCCGGCCGTCCTGTGGTGCTGGTGGGTCCTCGTTCTGACAGGGGCAGCGCCCCGCGTCCAGTGCCTCCTTCCTCCTCCCCCTTCTCCCCTCCTCCCATGTCTGCCTCTGCTCTCCGCATGTCCACCCTTTCGGCACGTCCCTCACAGGTTTCGTAGCCCCATAGGGAGCTCCACCGAAGGCCTCAGCGTCAGGGTCCGCATGCGTCCCCATGCCTATTTGGGCACATCCCTCACGATGATCGTGGCCCCATAGGGAACTCCACCGACGGCCCCAGCGGCAAGGTCGGCATGCGTCCCCCCGCCCATTTCGGCACACCCCTCACGAGAATCGCTGCCCCATAGAAGGCTCCACGGAAGGCCCCAGCGGCAGGGTCCGCATGCGTTCCCCCGCCCCGTTCGGCACACTTGCGCGGTACCCACAACGCGGTACTCACAACTGCTTATGGTTGGGCCCTTCGCCAGGATAATTGGTATTCTTTTGTTGTGTGTGTGTGTGTGTGCGTGTGTGTGCGTGTGTGTGCGTGTGTGCGTGTGTGTGTGTGTGTGTGTGCGTGTGTGCGTGTGTGTGTGTGTGTGTGTGTGTGTGTGTGTGTGTGTGTGCGTGCCTGCGTGCGTGCGTGTGTGTGTGTGTGTGTGTGTGTGTGTGTGTGTTCTGTTTCTTTGTTGTGTGCTTGTTTGTTTGTTGGTGGTTGTGTTTTTGTGTGTGTGTGTGTGTGCGTGCTATGTTTTTGAGCTCTTTGCCTACGGAGGCCTCTCGAGGCCTCTGGGGACCTCCAGGTATCTCTTGCGGGACCTCTCAGGGGACCTTTGAGGGCCTACGGGGGCTTCCGCAGGCTTCTGCAGACACGGGGGGACCTCAGCGGACCCCTGGGGGCTTGTGAAGCCCGTGTTGGTGGCAGGAGCGCTGTTGGGATCAGAAGGTCACGCCTTATGCACGATGAGCTCCTATGGCTGTTGCAGTCAAATCCTGCAGTGAGGATCCAGTGCCTCCTCAAAGCTATCTGTGCATCCTTGCCTTTTTCTTCCGTCCGCCCTTTCTGGCCGCATGCCGCTGAAGCTGTCTCTGCATGGACGCCCGAGGGTCTCGTATCTCGTACCTTCACCTTGGGTCTCTACTGTGGAGATTGACTGCAGTGAAGATCTGCACCTCCTTCGTTTTTTTGGGGGGTTTCTTTAACACCCGCTGCAGCAGCTCTCTTGCGCTCTGCTGTTTTCCGGCCACAGCCAGCAGTGGCCAGGGCTCTCGCTCCCCAGGGAGCAAGTTTGGCCTTCCACGCTGTCGCCTATCCTGATTCTCTTCCGCCTCCTTCCGCCCCATCTCGCAGCGGCAGTACCGGTTGAGCGTCGTCTTGGGCGAACTGTACCGCGACTCCCTGGCGAGGGTCTTCGACCTGCCCGTCCCACGGACTATTCAGGAGGGGAACAAAAAACACAGAGACAATTCATCGTCGATTTCCAGGAAAAGATTGGAAACTATGGGAAGTGGGGGGAGGACAAACACCCAGACAACATGGGACAATATGGGGGATCCTTTTATTTGTGTATTATATATATATATATATATATGTGTGTGTGTGTGTGTGTCCCAGGGCCCCTTGAACTATGTGTCCCTGGCAGGCTCGACACGCCAAAGGGGCTCCCCCTCTCCCGTCGGATCCACGGCTCACAGGAGAGCCGCGCCGCCACGACTTGGGATCGACTGCGCGGGCATTCGTGCGCAGGCTGCCCGCGGGGACTCCCGGAGGTCTCGATCCCTTCCCCAGGTTTTTTGTTTTTTTTTTGTTTTTGTTTTTTGTTGTTAATATATATAAAGATGATAATAACTTCATTTTCTCTTTTTTTGCATCATCATTTTGCATCATTATTATTATTGTTCATTTTTAACTTTCTTATCCTGAGGCGATCTGTGCCGGTCCATGGGCCCTGCAGGCCGGAAGTGGCCAAGCAGCTTCCCTCGTGCCGGTTAACCTTCACGCTGCCAAATGGGGTCTGGGATTTCTCGTCGTTTAGAAGCCGAGTGTTGTTTGCTGTTGTTTCGTGTGTGTATGGTGTTGTTATCTCTTTGTGGTGTATTTCTTCAGATAAATAAATCTTTGTCTGTCATGTATGATCCCTTCTTGTTTGTGTGTGTATTCACATGTATAGGTGCGTATATCTGTATACATGAACAGACAGGCAGGCATGTGTCTGGCACCCGTCGACGCCTTCCTCATTTTATGCCGCCCTCCGTTCCCAGCGGGCCGCTCCTCCTCCTCTTCCTCCTCCTCTTGCTTTGTGCCATATTATTAGTGTGACTCATCCTCTTTCTGTGCCTGGCGTCCGCTGGCTGCCCTTCCTCACTGCAGGTCGCCAACTTTTCCAGGCACGCCACGCGCGCGAGCTGCTTGTTCAAACCACGTAAGGCCTCCCTCCTTCTCCTCGTCGTCGTCTTCCTCGTCCTGCTCTTCCTCTCCCTCCTCCGCCTCCCCAGATGATGACCTGCAACGTTTTGCAATGTGTTAGTTTGTGTTTGTCGTTTTTTTGTGTCTTGTCATGTCCTGAAGTACCGCGCTGCGCTGGGCGGAGCAGCTTCCTCGTCCTTCCCTGCGCCGCCTGTGCACTCCCGCTACCCCTGCTCGTGCGGTCGGCCCCTTCCCCTCCATCGCCGACGCGGTCATCTGGCGCGTGCGCACGTGTCCGCACCGCGTGCGCCGTGGGGAGGTACAACCACCTCGCCGACATCTGGGCCTTCGGGGTTCTGCTGTACCTCATCATGTACGGTCGGCCAGAGGGGGAGGAGGAGGAGGAGGAGGAGGAGGAGGAGGAGGAGGAGGAGGAGGAGGAGGAGGAGGAGGAGGAGGAGGAGGAGGAGGAGGAGGAGGAGAGAGGAGGAGGAGGAGGAGGAGGAGGAGGAGGAGGAGGAGGAGGAGGAGGAGGAGGAGGAGGGAGGAGGAGGAGGAGGAGGAGGAGGAGGAGGAGGAGGAGGAGGAGGAGGAGGAGGGGAGGAAGAAGGAGGAGGGAGGAGGAGGAGGAGGAGGAGGAGGAGGCGGAGGAGAAGGAGGAGAAGGGGAAAAGGAGGAGGAGGAGGAGGAGGAGGAGAGGAGGAGGAGGAGGAGGAGGAGGAGGAGGAGGAGGTGGAGGAGGAGGAGGTGGAGGAGGAGGAGGAGGGAGGGGGAGAGGAGGAGGAGGAGGAGGAGGATGAGGAGGAGAAGGAGCAGGAGGAGGAGGAGGAGGAGGAGGAGGGGAGAGGAGGGGGAGGAGGGGGAGGAGGAGGAGGAGGAGGAGGAGGAGGAGGAGGAGGAGGAGGAGGAGGAGAGGAGGAGTGGGGGGAGAGGAGAAGGAGGAGGAGGAGAACGAGGAGGAGGAGGATGAGCAGGAGGGGGGGGAGGGGGAGGATGAGGAGGAGGAGGAGGAGGAGGAGGAGGAGGAGGAGGAGGGGAGGAGGGGGGGGAGGAGGAGGGGAGGAGGAGGAGGAGGAGGAGAGCAGGAGGAGGAGGAGGAGGAGGAGGAGGAGGAGGAGGAGGAGGAGGAAGATGAGGGGAGCCGCTGCTGCAGTGCACCCTCCCGTCCCGAGTGCTGTCCTCAGCAGTCCGTGCGGCGAGCCATTTTCCACGGCAGGAAGTCTTCCACATTGACAAACGAGCACCCCATGGGATTGGCATTCAGGCGAGGCCCCTCTTTGGCAAGGACCCGCTAGGCCACAATGATCAAGGAGGCGTCCATCGAGAGCCCCGTTTTGCGAAGAGTCTGCCGTCCCTCCGTGGTAGTGATGCACAGTTTCGGAGTACATGCTACAAGATTAGAGGAAGTCTCAAGCGGGAGCCCCACTTTGAAATCGAGCCTTCTCCATCCGTGTGGCTCTTGCACACTGTTGAACGTCGGGCCATCGAATTCAGAGACATCTCAGGCGGGAGTCACATTTTGAGCATAATCGGTTGTCCATCCGCGTGTGTGTGCGTGCGCGCGCGCGCGTGTGTGTGTGTGTGCGCCGTGCCAAGGCGATAGCCCCATTTTGAAGACCACCTGTGCTCCATCCGAGTAGCTGCTTTTTAACAGTTTTGTAAGACAAGTGTGCGCGGCGTCTATAGGCGACATCCCAATTTTGAAAATCATCTGTGCTCCATCCGTGTAGCTGTCGGGAACCGTAAGCTTCAGGAGCAGCAGCGGAGGGGAAGCATCAGGCAAAGCGCGCGGCCCGCCCTAACGAGCTGTCCGGTGGTGCGAGGATGATAATGTATTCATGAGGTAATGGGGTGGATGGGGGAGGAATGAGGAGGAAGAGGAAGCAGGAGGACGAGAAGACGGAGGAGAAGACGGGGGGGGTCGAGGAGTCGTGGGAGTTGGGAGGAGAAGAGGGGCACGAGCATACAGATGGACATTGGAGGATTCGAGGTCCGTGCAGAGCTAACATGGCCACCGACGACGGCGGCGACGCAGGCGAGCGACGAATCCGGGGAGGACATATTCAACGACGACGGACGAACGAGTGGACAGGAAGAAGAGACGTCCGGGGGCATGAAGGGAGGAATCTCGTGGGGATGACGACGACGACGAGCACGACGACGACGACCACGACGACGACTACGACGACGACGATGATGCTGCTGATGATGATGCTGATGATGATTATTATTGTGATGATGTTGCTGCTGATGCTGATTCTGATTATGATTATGATGTTGTTGTTGATGATGATGGTGATGAGCATGATGATGATGATGCTGATGATGATGATGATGATGATGATGATGATGATGATGCTGATCACGACAATGATGAGGATGATGATGATGCTGCTGATGGCGATGCTGCTGATGATGCTGTATGCCCAGGGAGGAGAGGTGGATGTTGTTGCTGTTGATGCTGGTAATGGCGATGGTGCTATCGGTGATGGTGATGGTGATGAGGATGATGAGGAGAAGGGGGAGGAGAGACACGAGGAGCGAGGGGTTGACATACGAGGGGGTTGTTGTGATGAAGATGAGGGTGTTAATGCTGATGAGTATGGACGATGACGCTGATGTTGCTGGCGGTGAATGTGACGATGATGAGGATGATGATGCTGTCGATGAGTATGGCAATGACGACACTTATGAGTAGGCTGAGGGTGATGATGACAAGTCTGACGATACTGCTGCTGGTGGTGATGGTGACTGTTATGATGAGATTGGTGACTCTTATTCTTGGTCTTCTCCACCTGATGGTGATGATGATGCTGCTGATGCTGATGGCGAGGATGCTGATGCTGCTGATGATGATGCTGATGCTTATCTTGATGATGTTGATGCTGCTGCTGACGACGACAACGATGATGCTGATGATGCTGATGCTGATGATGATGATGACGATGCTGCTGATTATGTTGATGCTGATGCTGACGCTGGTGATGCTGTTGATGCTGATGATGCTGACGATGACGATGATGATGATGACGATGCGGATCATGATGATGATGATGCCGATGATGATACTGATGATGGCGATGATGACGCTGCTGATGATGCTGCTGATGATGATGCTGATGCTGTTGTTGTTGATGATGCTGCTGATGATGATCTTGCGACTGATGATGCTGATGCGGATGCTGCTGAAGATGATTATGCTGATGTTGCTGTTGCTGACGATGCTGATGCTGATGCTGATGCTGATAGTACTGATGATGATGCTGACGATGCTGATGATGACTACGCTGATGATGAATCTGATGGTGATGATGATGGTGACGATGATGCTGATGATGATGGTGATGTTGTTGTTGATGCTGATGCTGATGCTGCTGCTGATGATGATGCTGATGCTGATGCTGATGCTGCTGATGATGATGATGATGGTGGTGATAGTGCTGCTGATGATGCTGGCGATGCTGAGGCTGCTGAGGATATTTTTGATGATGATGCTGATGCTGATGTTGATGCTGATGCTGATGCTGATGCTGATGATGCTGACGATGATGCTGATGATGATGCTGCTGATGATGATGATGATGATGATGATGGTGATGATGATGATGATGATGATGATGATGATGATGATGATGATGATGGTGATGATGATGCTGATGATGATGATGATGATGATGATGGCGATTCTGATGCCGATGTGTGTGCTGATGCTGTTGACTACGACGGCAGCGCTGCTGCTGATGAGGAGGATGGGGACGGGGAGGGGATGGGGATGATGATGATGATGATGATGATGATGATGATGATGATGATGATGATGATGATGATGATGATGATGATGATGATGATGATGATGATGATGATGATGATGATGATGATGATGATGATGATGATGATGATGATGATGATGATGATGATGATGATGATGATGATGACGAGGAGGAGGAGGAGGAGGAGGAGGAGGAGGAGGAACAGGATGGGGGGTGGGTAGGACGAGGGGAGACGGAGTCGGGGGATGAGGACAAGGGTGAGGATGCGGAGAAGCATGAGGGGAAGCGGGAGTTGAAGGGTGGGGATGGGAGGAAGAGAGGGAGGAGGAGATGCAGGATGCGGGGGGAACGGGTTGGGGAAACACGAGGAGGTAGCCCTCTTCCCCTTCTCCCGCCCTTTTACACCCCCTCCTCCTTCCCCCTTCCTCCTCCCTCCTGGGGTGCCGGAGGCCACTACCCCTTCGACGCGAAGAGCCCGCGAGACATCATGGTTCGCAGCCGCCCCTCGTCGTTGTCGCTGTTGCCGTCGCCGTCGCCGCCGCCGCCGCCGCCACCGCCGTCGTCGTCGTCGTCGTCGTCGTCGTCGTTGTTGTCGTTCGTCGTCGTCGTCGTCGTCGTCGTCGTCGTCGTCGTCGTCGTCGTCGTCGTCGTCGCCGAGAGGAGAGGAGAGGAGAGAAGGTAGAGGAGGGGCAGCGGGAGAATGGGGAGACGGAGGAGGGAACCTTGGAGGAGGAGGAGAGAGGGAGGGAGGGGTGCATGGACGGAGGATGGAGAGAAGGAGGGATTGAGGGGGCGTGGGGGCAGCGGGGAGGGTGATCAGCAGCAAGAGGGGTATGGGACGGGAGGGGAGGAGGAGGGTAGAGGGGGAGAAGGGTGGAGGGAGGATGGAGAAATGATGGAGGATGGGGGGGGGGAATGGGGGATGAGCTGAGTGGTGGACTTATTGGGGGAGGATCCTTCAGGTTCAGGCTGAGGAGGAGAAGCAGGCTGGGATGATGTTGATGCGGAGCAGGATGAGGCTGATGGTTATGATAAGGCTGAGGAGGAGCATGAAGAGAAGGAGGAGGATGAGGAGAAGGAAGAGGCTGGGAAATCTATTGAGGCCGAGGAGGAAGATGAGGGGGAGGAGGAGGAGCAGCAGGAGCAGGAGGAGCAGGAGGAGCAGGAGGTGGAGGAGCAGGATCAGGAGAAGACGCAAGCCGAATGAACTCCGCCGAGGGAACGAGGGAGCCACGGATCGCAGTGGACAAACGCGGCAATCCATTAGCCGTGTTGGCGGTGTCCCCGCTTAGGGAAACCCTTGTGCTCGGATGGCATTTGGCTTTCAGATTCTTGAGGGACGTGGCTCTCCATCGATTTTCTTCCCAATTGGCCTTTCCATTACACTTGGCATGTAACACAGGGGATTGTCGAGTTGAGGAGTTGCCGCGACACCTCAAACATACCACACATGGGCCTTCGGTAACGATCTGTTGTCCTTGAAGCAGGGTGAGATCACCATCCCCGCCCTCTGGCCTATTAGACACAGTAGCAGCAGGAGCGCGCAAATTATTAGCAGAGGCAGTAGTCGCGGGGGCCCCACTGGGGGGCCCCGCCCCAGGATGACCGCCACTGGGCACAGCGCTGCTAGTGACCCCCTCAGACGTCGCCACCCCTCCCGTGGGAGTCGAAGCAAGCCGAGATCTCGCTGCCAAGGACTGAGGCCAACTTCTCCTCTGGAAGCGAGCTCAGGTAGCGGTTCGCCGCAGCCAAGGCAACCGCTATAGCCTCTTTTCTTTGGCCGGAGGCAGGGAGGGCGAGGAAGGCAGTGGCTGCACAGAGTGTGCAACGCCGGGGACCTCCAGAGACTGGACGGAGGCGCTGGTTCCCGGGCACAGCCTGTACTGGCGCCGTGGGCGCCGAGCGGCGCTTGGCCTGCCGCGCCAGCGCGTCGAGCTCCTCCTGCTGCTCACCCAGCTTTGCCGTCAGCGAAGCAAAGAGTTTGCCCGCGACGCGGGCATCCGAAAGTCTGGCGGCGAACGCATGGTGCACAGCCCGTGGAAGAATGTGTTCTCGAGCTCCGATCTTCGCGAAGGAATCGGCCCGGGCATTGCCGTAGAAGTCGGCGGCGACCCTGCCGTCCAAGAAGTGCTCGATGTCGCGGTGGGCATGACACCAGAAGAAGCCCGGTAGATGGGGCCCTGCTGCAGCGAAGACCGCGCGCCAGATGTCGGCGTACTGGTTGGAGGAGCTGGCCAGACTGTCGTCCCGCTCATTGCCCTTATTGACCAGCGACGCCAGGTCCGACACCATGTGGGACAACCAGGGCAGATGCCTGAGGGCCGTCGGCCCAGCCTTTCCCTCTGCGCGGCCAACTACCTCGGACCCGCAAGCACTCTGCAGCATGCGTGGACGGGCATGTTGTCAGGGCCCATCTGCACGACCGCCCAGTCACAGCGGCAGAGCCCGGGCCACTCCGTGTCGTAGCCCGAGCCGTCGGTGTAGGCGACCGCGTGGTTGACGCGAGTCGTCGAGGCCCAGTCGTCCCAGACGTGGACCTCGGCGGCAGTGGCCACTGAGGCGGGCGGCCTGCGCGGCATCAGCGGCAGCTCGACCAGCAAGGCAAACCGGTCAAAGCTGGCGTCCGAGATCCTTGGCAAGCCTGGCACTTGGCAAGCCTCTCCCTGGCGCTTGGCCAGGTCCAGGAGGCCCCAGCCCAGAGCTTGCGCAAATTACCCGCGCGCGCCCCCTTGACCGCGGACTTGGACGGCGCCAGCACATAGCGCATGGCTCGATGCCAGAGCTCGGCATGGTCAGGCACTAGGTCGGCATGGTGGTTGAGACTCTGCCTGCCCTGCCATCTGCGAATGCCTTCCCGCAGCAGGTGTCGCACATCCTTCGGCGCCGCGTGCAGGAGGGAGATGATAGCGCCTTGGTCGGTGACCAGGATGAGGCTCGAGTGCATGGTCCACCCGACGCGGAGGAGACTCATCCATGCTGCCGTCGGGGGGCCTCGCAAGCCGGGCCAGGTGGGCTTCTCCGGGAGCCACGTTGCCTCCAGGACGGCCCAGGCGCGCTGCAACCGCGCCAAGCGCAGCTTGGCGTCTCAGACGAAGGCGCAGTACTTCAGGACAGGGGCGACTGGTCAAAGTACTGGTCGCGTTGCGTGGGGAGGCGGATAGTTATGACGTCAGCTCCAACACCACCGGGGCCACTACAAAGCAGGACCGCCGCGTGGCGGAGCCTCGCGAGGTGCTCGTCCGAGGTGCCCGAGAGCAGCGCAATGGGCCGCCGCCAGGAGCAGCCTGGTCTTCCAAATCATCTGGATGCGCGCCCCTGCTGCGCGTTGCAGGGCACTGATGCGATGGCCGCGGTCGCCCAGGGCCGAGAGGCTACGCTTGGCCACCGTGCTGCTGACTCGTCGGCCGTGGGTGTCGTGGCCGAGGTTGCGGCGCCGCTCACCTGCTTGAGCTTGAGCTTGCGCGCTGACGGCGCGAAGGCACGCTGGGCTGAGGCCGCGGTGGCCAGCCCGCCCGACTTGGCAGGCCTGATTTCCATGCCAAGGAGGAGGAGGAGGAGGAGGAGGAGGAGCAGGAGGATGAGGAGCAGGAGGAGGAGGAGGAGGAGGAGGAGGAGGAGGAGGAGGAGGAGGAGGAGGAGGAGGAGGAGGAGGAAGACGGGACGAGGACGAGGAGGAGGAGGAGGAGGAGGAGGAGCAGGAGGAGGAGGCGAAGGAGGAGGAGGAGGAGGAGAAGGGAGGAGGAGAGGAGGAGGAGGAGGAGGAGGAGGAGGAGGAGGGAGGAAAAAACGAGGACGAGGAGGAGGAGGAGGCGGAGGAGGGTCCTGAGGGTCCTCATGAATCGGCCCATGTCTGTGGGCCCTCGCGAGCAGTCGACGCTGCCCTGGCCGATGCCGAGGCGGCCGAGGCCGAGCCAGTGGGCCGAGCCGAAGCAGAGAGTGCCGCACCCCGATGGGTTCAACAGAAGCGCCCTAACGTGAGCAGACGCACGCACTATCCGAAGCACTGGCAGCAGCAGCAGCCAGCGCCTGGGCCAGGGAGCGGTGCGCACGGCAGCGCCTCCTCCTCCTGCTCCTCCTCCTCCTGCTCCTCCTCCTCCTCCTCCTTCTCCTCCTCCTCCTCCTTGTCCTCCTCCTCCTGCTGCTCCTCCTCCTCCTCCTCTTCCTCCTCCTCCTTTTTCCTCCTCCTCCTCCTCCTCCTCGTCCTCTCCCAACGTGAGCAGAGGGGCCTCCCAGCAGCAGCCGGCGCCCTGAGCCTCCGACCAAACGCACGACCTCGGCGGCGAGGAGCGAGCGCGACGCACGGCGGACCGGCCACGCCCACGGGTCTCCCGCAGCCACGCCGAGCAGGGCGGAGGACGAAACGATCGGCAGTGCCTCAATGGGCAAGGTTTGCGAAGCTGCTCGCCTCTCACTCACGCAGTGGCGAAGTGTCCTGGCTCGCCTATAGGCCTACCAAGGAATGTTCAAACAACCTTTTGTGGTTTGCACGAAATGTTCTTAGAACATTTTTGGCTGGGAGTGTCTTGTTTTAACACATGTGTTTAGAACATTTTGGGTTCTAAGAGCATTTCGTGGTAGGAATGCCGGGACGGTCGGTCCCTGCTCAACTCACTGGTCCTCCAAATGGGCGAGGTGGCTTGCTCCTTCAGTGTGCGTGGGTCTCGTCGCAGGCCGAGTCGCATTCGATCACCGCCTCGAGCATGAAGATCGCGCCGCCGATGCTAAGCCCCGAGCCAGTGGGTGGCGCCGCTCCAGGAAACCGTTCCGATTACCGATGCGGCATCGGTCCAATGCCTGGCCAAGTAAGCCAACCTCTCCGTGGGGATCTCGTCACAGTCTCGGTCAGCCTCACGGTGCTTCTGGGCCTTCTTGTTTCTCTCACTTCGTTCGGCGTCGCTGTGGCCCGACACGCTGGGCTCTCCACGCCATTTGGCCATGCCGCTCAGGTCGGGGACGGTCGAGCCGCCCGTCTCGCCCACCTGTGCTTGCGAGCCACCGCGGAGGCGTTCGTACCCGTCGGCTCGGCCTTGTCCCGTCTCGGGTGCCGTCGCCTCCCCAGAGATCGCCCAGCTTCTGCTCCTTGGCGGGGCCCAGCCGCTGGATCTGCGCATCGTCGGCCATCTCGGCCCTCCTCGAACGGGTTGCTCTCGATGCGGTCGTCCTCCAGCCTGATCTCCTTCTGGGACTCGACGGGCTGCCGCAGCATGTGGGGACCCCGTGGGGAGGCGCCTCCGTGCCGCACCTCACGTGCGTCGCGGGGAGCCCGACGTCCGCGAACCCGGCACTGCTTGCAGTGCCACTTGCTGATGCCCTTCACCGATCTCTCCGTGGAGTTCTGGAGCTCCTTCGTGAAGTCCTCCCGGATGTCGTAGGTCTCCTGTGCTGTCGGTGGTCTTGCTGCCGCCGCGGCCGCTGCTGCCAGAGCCCCCCGGAGAGCTCTCCCCGTGGGCGGTGTCGGCGGAGGGGGCAGCTTGGATGACGTCGTGCTCGTTGCCGATGGAATCGCCGCCGCAGAAGCGCTGAGCGTCTCCTCCGGGGTCTGTCCGACGAAGCCCCTGGGAAAGAGAGTCGGCGTCCAGTGACCCTCCACTTTCGGTCTTCGAGGTGGTGCCCGTGGGTGCTTCGAGCACTCCTGCACCTTCACAAATGCTCCTTGTGCTCCGAGGTAGCCAGGCCCGGTGTCTGCCACCGCCAGCCGTGCCGGGCTGCCTCGCTCCTCGAGCCCACCGTCGTGCGCTCCTTGCTGTCCTTTGCGAACCTGCCGGTGAAGCCCTGGCCATGCACAGAGCCGCCGCAGGAGTTGACGCCAGGGAAGCGGAGACGGGGTAACAGCAGACGGGGTAACAGGAAATGGCCAGTTCGAGGCCACAAACGCGCTAACGCGCTCTTTGGTGCAGTGTAGTTTTTTCAGGCTTCCGCGTTCAATGCAGCACCCGCCACACGTTGTCTGCGTTGAAATTCTCGCTTGTTGCAATGTATTTTTTTGGTTTAGGCCATTTGTTACCTGGTCTGCGGGGCTTGTTTGCAATTTTTCCGCACTTAGTTGTAGAAGCAATGCAGTTCAGTTTTTTTCGCGTCGCAGAAAATGACCGTGCAGTATTTTGTTCCAGCCATTGCTGCTTCTCAGTCTGGATATCATGGTTGGTCCTTTGCCCGGTTCAGGTGTTGCCCGGCTTAGTTTTCCTGGACGGCGCCGCGGCTCCACCGATCCTGCTGCAGCCAGGCCCGGAGAGAAGAGGTCGACCGTGACGTGGACTGGCGGCCGCTCGTCGAAGCCCTCCCGTGGGGAGCGAATCGTGGCGCCTAGGCCGCGGCCGAACAGGCAGGGAGCGATGTGCAAGAGCACGTGCCGCGCCCTCGCGGCGCGGGCCACTATGGCGCGGCCAGGGCAGCTGCGCGGCCACGAACTGCGCTGCCCTCACAGCCAGGGGTGGAGCCTGGAGCCAACATGGTCACGGAGGAGGAGGAGGAGGAGGAGGAGGAGGAGGAGGAGGAGGAGGAGGAGGAGGAGGAGGAGGAAGAGCATGGGGAGGAAAACAATGGAGGAGAAGCGGGGAGATGAGGGCGGAGGAAGGACAAACGAGGGGGGGGCGGAGGACGAGTCGGGATGATATTGGTGGTGTTCTCGCGCGTCAGCCCTGGCCTGTCGCCGCAGGTCAAGATCCTCACCGAGCCGGTGCGGTGGCAGACCAAGGCCCCCGGGGAGCCTGCGGCGGGAGCAACACCTCGGGGTGCAGGCAGCGGGGTTCGGTGCGAAGCCGACCGCCCAGATATCCTGGGAAAGAGGGCTGCTGGCTGGCTCGCGGACCTGGTGCTCACAAGGCTGGTGCCCGCAGGTGTACTGTGCACTGTGGGCCTGCTCTCTTCGGCGCAGTCGGCACCCGCAACAGGGTTCATCCCAGGCACGGGCCAGCCAAGCCCTGCCGGTGCCCCCCCGGCTCTCCTTGGCCTGGGCTCCGCGCGGAGCCTCGCCTCCCATCTCTCGGGGGCAGGAGCACGCCCACGAAGCTACGTCCGCAGCCGCCACCGCGCACAGTTGTAGCAGACATTCTTCGCGGTAGCTTTGCGAGCATGCGACGCTCATAGTCCGCACATCGTAGTATTATATATATGTATGTTTAGGTGTGTATGCAATTGATGTATTTGTATGTATATATATGTGTATATATATAGGTGTCGATATATAAATATTCATCTCTCTCTCTGTGTGTGTGTGTGTGTGTGTGTGTGTGGGGGGGGGGTCTGTGTGCGGCTCCCACACCTCCCATCCCAGCCCACCGCCGCCTTGCGGAGCGGAGCGGCACGCCATCTGCTCGCAGGGCATACCGTGTCGCCCGGGCCGCCGCCGCGACGCGCCGAGCAAAAATAAGTGTCCCGACGGTGGCGCCGACTGGGTTGGCCCGTCCCCGAAGTGCGACGAGGCAGACCGTCGAGGCGTCGCGGGGGAAGACAGACGACGGGCGCCTTCGCAGGCCAGTGGCCTGGATTATGTCGGGCGTGTCCCCCTACAGGGGGATTTTCAACGAAAAATGCCAAATACCCCAAACATACCCCAAACAGGTAACAAACATTTAAAAAGTAGTTCCCTGACGATTTTTTGATTATTTTTTGTTTTTTTTTGGGGGGTATTTTTTATTTTTCGTCGAAAATCCCCCTGTAGGGGGACAGGCCCGACTTAAGGCCAGTGGCTTGGATCGAGGCGGAGGCCTTTTCGCCATCTTCGGCGCCTCGACGCCGACTCTGGGCCCCGGGCCGTTCAAAGTCCATCTGGGACGGAGAATCAGTCTCTGGGAAAGAGTCCAGGAGAGAGAGGTCTAGGTGCATTTCCGCCGAACAAGTGACGACGTCGGGGAGAAACGACGTCGGGGGCCTGGGGCAGTGGGTGAGGGATGAGAACGGGCGAAGTGGGGTCGACAGCCCAGAGATCCAACGTATTGTCCAATCGAGACTGATTGGTTTTTCGCCGTTTTCGGCCTCACTGGGCCTCGGGGCCGTTCCAAAAGGACTTAGGATGAAGAGCCAAAGACGACGCCAAGGATGGAGGGGTCGAGACATGCGGGGACCCCGTATTTACCAAGTCAAGACGTCGGATCTCCGGGAGGGGGGGGGTGTTTCAAGTTGCTCAACAGGCGTGGAGGGTGGGCCGCGCGAGTCGCGGCGGGGGGCGGGACGGAGGCTGTCCTGCGCGGGGCATCGCGCCGCCGCCCCGGCTGTTGCGCCGGGACGTCGCCTCGCCAGAGGGCCGCTTTGTCGGGTGGTCGCTTCGACAGATGCTTCGGCGTCACCACCTCCTCCTCCTCCTCCTCCTCCTCCTCCTCCTCCTCCTCCTCCTCCTCCCTCCTCCTCCTCCCTCCTCCTCCTCCTTCCTCCTCCTCCTCCTCCTCCTCCTCCTCCCACAATCGGCAACACCCCAACATACTTGTACTACATGTGCGTCGCCCCCCCAGGGGCGACGCGCGCTCCGAGACATCTTATGGTATATGCGTCGTGGCGGGCGCTTCCTGGCCACACCGCTCGGGGAACGATGTACTACAAGATTTGTATACTACATGTTCGGTTCGGGCGCGCGCCGCCAAGGACAGCTAGCACTAGCATGCCTCTGTGCGTCCCAGATTGTCGCTGCGCCCGAGTCGTTTCCCAGGGCCGTCGCTCTGCCGGGGTCTGCTTCGCCGGGGAGCCGCTGCGCCCGACTCGCTCCGCTGGAGAGTTCCGTCGCCGGAGAGGCCCTGACGGGAGGCGCGCCCACCTTGCCGGGCCAGCAGAACACTACATTGTAAGCGGTTTCTCATGCAAGTGATAGGGGAACGAAGAATGACATAGACATAAAAACTCGGAATTCCGCGCGGATTTCTCGGATCCGCGCTGGACCTCCCTGGCGGCGCCTCCGGCACCGCCCCTGGCGCGCGGAGCGCGCCAGGGAGGGGGGTCCAGCGCGGATCCGAGAAATCGGCGCAGACCTCCGAGTTTTTATGTTTATGTCATTCTTCGTTCCCCTGAGTGAGCAGGCGGAGCCCTTAATTACGGTCGGCGGGTTGGGGTGGACAGACTCGGGCCTGCTGGCGGGCGGGTCGTGGCGGGTATACCCCGGCGGGCCGTGGCGGGGCACGGCAGCGGGCGGGCGGAGCGGCACGCGGGCAGCGCGACGTTCGTGCGAAGCGACACTCGGGTTGAGTCGGGCGTACCCTTCTACGGGAGGAATATGCAAAAATAGTAACAAAAATTGTCCAGGGACGATTGTTCGGGAATTTTGGGACTGTCTTGGGATATTTTTGGACTATTTATTATTTTTCTTCCCAGATCCGCCTGCAGGAGGACATGCCCGGCCTACCACTTGGGCGAGGTGGCCTTGGAGAAGTGGCATCCGGCGAAGCGACCGGGGCGCAGCGGCCCAGGCGAAGCGAAGCCCGGGCGGAGCGAAGCCCTGCCCTGGGCCAAGCGGCCCACGGGCGAAGGTTGCACAGGACGAAGCGCATGTCGGGCGAGGCGTTCCCGGCGAAGCGACACTTGGGCGAGGCGTAGATGTTGGAGTCCCGAGACGGTGCGGCGACAGACCGTGCGGTGACTTCGACATCCCCCAACACCTCGCCGCACGGTCCGTCACGGTCTTGGGACCTCGGAGGCAGGCCCCCGTCGCCCGACGCGTCCTCGGAGAGGGACCCGAGTCCCAAAGCCGTGCGGTGACCCCGAGTCCCCACCGGCTCGCCACACGGTGTGGTCACCACCCCGTCTGGGGGCCCCCGATGGATACCCCTCGGCGCGGTGGTCGGGGGGCTTGCTGAGCAGCGTCGCGCAGGCCGTGGGGCGCGCCGCTGCGGCTCCATCAGGACACCGCGTGTGTGCCATCGCTGCGCCAGCCGCGGCCGGCAGGCTCCGGCTTGCTCGCAAGCGAGCGGTATGCAGCGCGCTTCGCCGCCGACCCGCATCCGTCGTCGCAGCTGGGCCGCTGAAAGGTTGTTGCGTTCGATCTCCGCCTGCACCGCTCCGGGAAGACGATCAGGAGCCCGATGCTGGGGGTGAAGGAGGGTGAGCGAAGAGGGTGAAGGTGGGGAACGGTAAGATGATGGGCAGGGCTGCGTCCCAGACGGCTTCTCCCTCCTTCTCCCCCTTCTCCTCCTTGCTATCCTCCTCTGTCTTTCTTCCGCCTCATTCTCCTCCATCCCCCTTATCTCTCCTCTCTCTTTCTCTCTCCGTCTTTCTCTCTCTCTCTCATCTTCTTCCACTCCCCCTCCTCCTCCTAGTCCTCATCTGCCGTCTCCTCCATCGACGGCCAAGCGATGTCCCATTGGAGGCCTCCTCATCCTCCGCTCCTCCCTCCTTCCTCCTTTCCTCCTCTCCTCCCCCCCTGCTCGCCCCCGCCCACCGCGCGGCGCAGATCGAGGTCCGAAGCATTCTTGGAGCACTTGAGCGACGGAAGACAACGGGGTCGATTGCGCCGACATTGGCGCGCAGGCTGCCTGCGTAAGGTCGCGCGCCAGTGTCC